TTGGAATACAACATTCCAATAATTTTCTCTATGTGCAAATATCTCTCAAATTACTGATATCAAACTATGTATACAGTTCCTCCCTTATTGCCAAATACAGATGCAGAAGAATAATTTTTTTTGGTCTTTTTGAGGCAGGGTCTCGCTATGCACTTCAGGCTGGCCTTGAGCTCACTTTGTAGCTCAGGCTGGTCTTGAACTCGCGACAATCCTCCTGCCTCAGCCTCCTGAGTGCTGGGATTACAGGTGTGCGCCACCATGCCCGGTTTGCAGAGGAATATTTAAGGCCCTTATGTACAGTGCATTAAAGAAATGTCAAGTGAAAACCCGGTGTCAGCACCAGCCTGGCAGAGAATGTTGAGAATATTGGGGTGACCGGTATCGCCTCCTGATCCCAGCAGTCACCTGCTCCCAGAAGTAACCACTACCCTGGTTTCTGTGTGGTTATTTTCTTGCTTTACCCAAATATAGGTTTGTATGCAGCCCTAGGTAATGTGGTTTTGCCTCTGCCTGCTTTGGTGGTTTTTTTAATTTTAAAGGGAATACTAATAAACTAAAAACGATACAGAATTTGAAAACAAGATGACAGGAAATTAACAATGATTATAATATTGCATTGTTATCTTCAAAGTAGTTGCTCAGATTACCAGATATAGGCATGTAAGATTGATTAAACAATATAAGCACTAATTATTCCTTTCAATGAACTATTAGAAATTAGTGGTACAATTATCTTAGCTATCTTGTGTGTATATATATATCTCCCTTCTTTCCTCCTTTCCCCCATCCCAGTTGTTCTTTCCTTTTTGAGCAGTTTCCCTTTCACAATGTCTGTTGTACCTTTTGGATCTTATTTGCTCTCTCAGTTTCTTACACTAGGGAGACAATACAGTGTTTATACATGCCGGTCTGATTTATTTCACTTACGGATATGGTCTCCAGTTGCATCCATTTACCTATAAAAGCCTTGAGTTTATCTTTCTTTATGGCTGAGTAGTACTCCATTGTATAAAAATACCACATCTTTTTTATCTATTCCTTCGTTGATGGGCATTTGGTTGATAGCAAGATTTACCTATAACAAATTGCACTGTTATAGACATGGGTGTACATATATTGCTATGGTATGATGTTTTTAATTCTTCCAGGAAGATACCCAGAAAGGGAATAGCTGGGTCAAATGGGACTTCTAATGCTGGTGTTTTGAGGACTCTGCACACTGATTTCCACAGTGGTTGCACCCGGCTGCACTTCTACCAGCAGTGGAGGATGATTCCTTTTTCCTCACAGCCTCTCCAGCATTTATTATCGGTTGATTTCTTGATTTTTTCTGGAGTGAGATGGAATCTCAGTGTTAATTTGCATCTCTCAAATGACCAATGATGTTGAACATTTTTTTTGTCTTTTTGAGACAAGGTCTCGCTATGCAGTGCAAGCTGGCCTTGAACTCACTTTGTATTTGGAGTGATCCTCATGCCTCAGCCTCCTGAGTGCTGGGCTGACAGGCATGCGCCACCACGCCCATTCCCCAATGTGGTCATTGCGACAGGGTCTCACTTACATAGTCCAGATAGATAATAAGAAGAAAAGGACCAGGCTGGCATTATAGTCCAGGCTGGCCTCAAACTCATGGTAATCTTCCTGCCTCAGCCTCCCATGTTCTGGGATGACAAGCATGTGCCACCACACAAAGCTTTAACTTCTAATACAGTAACTATCAGTAGATGTAACTTACATAGTGGAAGCTCTTTACAGTCCTCAGTAATTTTCGTATAAGTAAAGAATCCTAAGGCCAAAAATTCTGAAAATTGATGTTCTAGAGTTTACCTATGGTGAGGGGTTATAGTTTTGTATTATTGCATTTTTTTCACAGCTAATTGTTTATTTCCTTGAGAAAAATACAAAGTGATACCATCATGAATGGAGAGGGAACACTGGTTGGTGAGGTCTAAAGCTTATTACACCTTGATACAATCATCATAAAATGCAGAAGTAAAATCACAACGCTTTGATCACTAAGCCAAGAACTACTCGAGGAAACTAGGCTGTTCTTCTTATTATCTATCTTTTGTTTTGCTTTTTATTCATATTTGGATGTCTCGTGTGATAGAAACCATGTGATATTAAAGCTTGTGTGTCTGATTTACTTCATTTAACATGGTCTCAAAGTGCATCCATTTTCCTATAAATGACTCAAGTTTATCCTTCTTTGTGGCAGAGTAGTACTCCATTGGCATAAATATCACATTTGCTTTATTCGCTCATCTGTTGGTAGAAATGTAGGCCACTTCCAAGATTTAGCTACTATGAATTGTGCCACTACCAACATGGGTGTACATGTATCCCTGTAATATGTCTTTAACTCCTTTAGGGAAGATACCTAGAAGGGGAATATGTGGGTCAAATGGAATTTCTAGTTTGAGTTTTTTTCAGGAGTTTCCACACTGATCTCCATGGTAGTTGCACCAGTTTACACTCCCACCAACAATGGAGAAGAGTTCCTTTTTCCCTGATTTCTTCCATTCTTTCTGGAGTGAGATGGAATCTCAGTGTTGGTGTAATTTGCATTTCTTGAATGACCAGTGTTGTTAAACATTTTTTCATGTATTTATTGGCCATTTGTATTTCTTTTTCTGTCTTTTTGAGATAGGGTTGTACTATGCAGTTCTGGCTGGCCTTGAACTCACTATGTAGCCCAGGCTGACCTTGAACTCACAGTGGTCCTCCTGCCTCAGCCTCCTGAGAGCTGGGACTACAGACGTGCGCCACCATGCCAGCTGGCCACTTCTTTATGTGAGAAGTGGCTATGCATTTCACTTGCTGATTTTTGATCGGGTCTTTTACCTTGGGGCTCTAATTGTTTAGAGGTCTTTATGTATCCTAGATGTCAGTCCTCTGTCTGGGGTGGAGCAGGCTGTCAGCTCACTCTGTTGGGTGTTTCCTTTGCTGTGCAGAAGCTTTGTAGTTTGATTTGATCCCATTTGTTGATTCTTTGTCCTATTTCTTGTGCCACTGGGGTCTGTTCAGAAAGTCCTGGCCTACATCTAGGTCAAGCATTGTACTTGTTTTATCTCCCAGCAGATTAAGAGTTTCTGTTTCACATTTAGATCTTTGGTCCACTGTAGTTTTATTTGATTATAGTTTCATGTGCATCCCTTTGGTTACCATGTTTAGTGTCCAGTTACATTTTGTTTTTTGAGACAGGGTTTCACTGTGTAGTTTAGGCTGGCCTGTCACTCCCTGTGTTGCCCAGGCTGACTTCAGACTTGCAGTCCTCTTGCCTCAGCCTCCCGAGTGCTGGGATTACAAGCGTGTGCTTGATTTCTTCTTTTCTGCTTTGTGTCTTTGGCTCATTTTTCTGTTTTTTGTTTGTTTGTCTTGTTTTGTTTTCTGCTGCTTCATACTGATGGTATTCTGTTGGTTTTTGAGAAAGCTCCTGAGTTTTGTGCATATTCCAAATCACCAGCCACCTTACCCAACCATCATTTCCTTTTACTATTTTAACAAAAGACAGGGTCTCTCCATGTCGCCCAGGCTGGCCTCAGCCTCCTGGGTAGCTGCAGTGACAGGTGAGTCTTGCTGTGTGTAGCCATCCCCCACTTTAAATGTGTTCCTTTTCAGCCTTTTGGGTGCGTCGGCTGTGCAGTCTTCTGGTCCGTGCAGTGATGCTCACACCTTTTTTCCCTGACTTCCCTTTGTAATCTTGTCTCTGGCCAATACACAGCAGCAGTCATGGAGCTACAGGGACTCCTGTTTGTTCTTTCCCAGGCTTTTGATGCACAGATAGGTCACGCTAAGGTGAAGTCCCTGCTCCTCTTTTACTGAGGACTTGGCTTTTCACAGGGTCTGGGTTAGACCCTGAATCTTGGTTTTGTGAGACAAGGTCTCGCTATATAGTCCAGGCTGGCCTTAGACTCACTGTGTAGCCCAGGTTGCCCTCGAACTCGTGGAGATTGTCGTGCCTCAGCCTACTGGGTGCTAGGATGACAGGTGTGCATCACCATGCCTGGCAGAGACCTTGAATTTTACCAGGCGGGGTTGGGGTATCTCTGTACACCTGCTGCTGCTCCATCATCCTGGGCCAGCCCCTGTGGGTCATGTGTTGCTTGTTACATCTTTTATTTACGAATTTTCTATCAGTAATCAAGGGTCGGGTTGTACGCGTGGACGTTTTCCATGCTGGGCTTCCCAGCTGTTGTCCCCTGGCAGGTTTTCCTGCGTGTCTGCTGTGCAGATGTTGAGCACTGAGAACTCTTCTGTCTTCCGAGACTGAAGTCGTTCTCTCTTGAGTTGACTAAATTAATGTACTTCTAGAATAACATCCAGTTGAATATAAGTTCCATAGAGAAATTATTTTTTGTTTGCTTTTTTGAGATAGGGTCTTTCTGTGTAGTCTAGACTGGCCTTAAACTTGCCATGTTGCCCAGGCTGACGTTAAACTTGTGACCGTCCTGCCTCAGCCTTCCAGTGATGGGATTATAGGCGTGTACCAGCACAGTGGGTGAGAAATAATTTTTTTCTCTGCTTTGTTTGCTGCTGTGTGCCTGGGACCTAGAACAGGGTGAGGCACATACAGTAGTAGTGCTCGTAGACATTGGTCAAAGGGTGGAAGATGGACTCCAGGACTAAAGCCGGATTTTTCCTTTTACAAGCACAGTATATCACACGTTGTCTTGCCATTATTTTAATGTCCTGCATATTAGTAGTTATGTCTTGTTGGAAGCTGTGTCAGGTATTTGCTCCTCTCCTTGCTTAGGTTGGTGAGATGATTCGAAAACATTTGGTAAACGACCTCGGTAGAAGGAGCAAATGGTCTACTAGAAAGAAGTCAGGGTCACTGCATCCCAGGTCATGGCAGCGTCGTCACTGCAGGAGCAGCAGCAGGAAGGCGTGTGCAGAGCGTGCGGCTTCCTGGGTGCCACGTTGCCCAGCAGCTTGGCTTGTAATCGCTGAACGCTGTAGCAAGCCCGGTGCCCCCGTCCCACCGAGTGCAACTGAGGATGCGGATGCGCTCTGCAGATGCTGCGCTGCCCCGAGGTGAATATAGTTACAATGTACTGCAAATTCATCTGCACCAGGAGGACACTAAAAAACGTCAGAACATAAAAGAGGGAACAAATCGTTGCTGCTCACAGCCACCCAGACCGTCTGACATGCTGCGGCACCGCAGAGAAGGCAGGCTTAGAAGGAGAGTGGCGTTTAGGTGACAGTCTTGGACAGGCACCACTGTAGGAGCAGAGGGAGAGGACAGGAAGCAGGCATGGTTGTGGAAGGGCAGTGGAAAGAGCCCGCGTGGGACACACCTGTTCCTCCTCTGGCCTGTGACAGTAGTCACGTGGTTCACACACGTGATCCCATCCTGTGGGACCCAGGAAATGGCCACAAGTTAGCACGAATGTGGCGGGGAAGGCCGTCTGCTGTAGAAGTATCAGGAACTGGGTAAAGTGCACAGGTGTATTACCTTTTACAACTCTGAATTGGTTTTGTTTTTTGTCTTTTTGAGACAGGGTCTCGCTATGCAGTTGAGGCTGGCCTTGAGCTCACTTTGTAGCCCAGGCTGGCCTTGAACTCGCAAGGATTCTCCTGCCTCAGCCTCCCAAGTGCTGGGATTACAGGCGTGCACCACCATGCCCGGCTTGTGAATTGTTAATTATCTTTAAAAAATTTTTTTTTTTAAGAGCAGAATGTATTTATTGGGGAAAGAAAGCTTCTGTCTGAGACAGGCAGAAGGGGTCCTGAACGGGTTGCCAAGGACCCTGCCTTTTCTTGGGACTTTTATAGAGCACAGTCATGAAGTGAGGTGGGGAGAAATGGGAAATCGCAAGGTGGGCATGAGGTGGGACAAAATTATGATAAACCAAGGAGACTATGGGCACAATT